GTGGGTGTGTGGTTGTATGGGGGGGGGGGGTCTGGTATGTTACCATCCTTTGAGGACAGCTGTGATGTGTCACTCTTTCTTTTTTGAGGAGATATTAATTTTTTAAATATATTTTTATTGACTCCAGAGAGGAAGGGAGAGGGAGGGAGAGATAGAAACATCAATGATGAGAGAGCGGCATTGATGGGCTGCCTCCTGCACGCCCCCCACTGGGGATCGAGTTCACCACCCGGGTGTGTGCAATGACCTGGAATCAAACCCGGACCTCCAGGTTCATAGGTCAACGCTCAACCCCTGAGCCACACTGGCCAGGGTTACGTAGATATTAACTGGGTTTAAAAATTAAATGTATTGGAGTAACATTGGTTAATAGCATTATATCAATTTCAGAAGTACATTCTAATTCAACATCTGTATACTCTGGTTTCCTTTCATTACCATACACTTGACCCTCCTGACCCACTTCACCTTCCCAGGTCACTCTTCACCGACTGTAAACTAGTGGTGCCCTATGGTAGGGAGAACTCAAAGGTGTTCCCTAAGACTTCCTCCCACACCACCCCACCCCACCCCCGGTATATCCACCTGCCCAATCCCCAGACTGAGGACAGCATGGGGGTTTTTTTGTTTTTTTTTTTAATTTATTGATTTTTTACAGAGAGGAAGGAAGAGCGATAGAGAGTTAGAAACATCGGTGAGAGAGAAACATCGAGCAGCTGCCTCCTGCACATCTCCCACTGGGGATGTGCCCGCAACCCAGGTACATGCCCTTGACCGGAATCAAACCTGGGACCCTTCAGTCTGCAGGCCAACGCTCTATCCATTGAGCCGAACCGGTCTCGGCACAGCATGGGTTCTGTTAACAGGTGCTGTTCTGTCCTATCATTAGAGGACTAGTGACCCGGTGCACGGATTTGTGCACATTGAAAGGAAATTAATTAGAAGGTGGCTGGCAGGGTGGGACTGGGCTAGACGGGCCAGACACACCCTGGAGCCAACCTCCTGTGGTCCCTCCCTGGCCGGCTGCACCTCGGGCAGCACCGTGGCTCAAAAGGCGTCTATGGAGTGAGTGGGGTCCCTCTGTCAAGTGGGGTCCCTCAGCCTGGCCTGCCGGGGATCAGGCTGAAACTGGTTCTTCAACATCCCTCTGCAAAGTTACTGTCGTACAGGGTGTGGAACGCAAACGCTAGTGTGCAGGAAACTAGATTCAGGGCTGACAGCGCCCCAGCAACAACATAACCCACAGCCGAAGGTGGAATCGCGAGGCCCCGTGAGGCCCCGCGAGGAATCGGGCTCCCTCCTCTCTGGTTTCGGGTGCGTCACCCGAGAACCTCCCCTGCCAAGTCACTGCAGCTCGGCAGCTCCGCATTGAGCATCTGCCCCCTGGTGGTCAGTGCACGTCCTAGCGACCGGTCGGACAGGCAGAGGGACACTTAGTAAGTGGTGGGGTGGGAGTTGGGTCTCAGCATCTCGCCCCCTGCAGGTCAGGATGAGACTCCCAGGGCTCTCTCCTCCCCGCCACCTAGACACCAGGACGCTGAAAACCTGGGCGCGTGAGAAGGGCAGGCCACGGCCCCAGGCCCTGCTCCTCTCCTGCCTCACAAACAGCCGCCTGTCCTTGGTGGCGCCCCCCCCCGCCCCCCCCGTGG